GGCAAACAGTATTTGTTTAAATCTACAAGTGGTTTATCACAAGTCTTGCAATGTGATTGCGGTTGTAAAATACAGGAGCCTATTGAGCCTTGTCACTTTACTCACCGTCCATCAAGGATTAGATAGCGAGTAGCGTAGCCAATCAGATCGCAGAATTTGTTGTAGAGTGCTCGTTGGTGTCACGTGATGGAAATCAAAAGTAACTCGTGGAATTGTGAAATAGTACTCATAATTGTATTTACCGTTAAAAACGTTGGAAATGGTCAATCACTTTCAAGAGTTAGTGCATGGCTAATAAGAAACGCTCAACACTGATACCTCTTGCTACCCGAGTTCGAGGTCCATTTTGTATGTTATGGACCAAGTTATTTTCCGGCCGATTGGATTTATGGCCCCAGTGCGAAGTGCGTAAGCCATAAATCGGGGCTGGAGAAAACGAGGTTCGTAAGATATTTATCACATCTTTGGGTTCAAATAGATGAGAAGGGTTTCAATTCAAACAAACTTTTGAATTTAGCGGGCGGCGCAGTGAAATACGGCCCACTAAATTGACCAATAATAGCACTCGTATTAAATAAGAGAAATAATAAAGTTTATTACATCACGAAATGCAATACGTTTTACTTATTCTGATTTGGCTTTATTTGATCTCATTTATTTACACACAAGTAAGTTATTTCTCATCACTTGTTCCTCGATCTTCAAGTACCTGTGAGTCATTTTGCTTTGCTTTCTTTCAAGGTGTTTGATGGTAATTGTGACAACTTCACTCCAGTTCTAAACAGGTTTAGCCCTGTTAAAGCTCGTTATGTCAAGGTCCTTCCTCACGACAGCCCCTCAACCTGGGTCTGCATGAGGGTAGAACTGTACGGCTGTGACGCTTGAGGTAAGGCAATAGTCATTATGTATAAAGGGGGTACGTTCCTAAAGAAACTGTGATGCTGCGTCGGTGGGGGAGTGTAACAGGATAATCTTGGTTTCATCAACTTGGTTGATAAATCAAATTAGTCACCGTAAAGAGTTTCAAAGCTGACGTTTCGAGCGTTAGCTCTTTGTCAGAGCGATCGACAGTCATTATTTATTGCCTTGGGGTGGGGGGTGTTCGGAGGATTTTGGGGGATCACATGGATTTCAGGGGGAAACGGGGGGGGGGTCAGTTGTCACCAACAGAGTCTAAAGGGGACTATAGACGATTCACTGCCAATCAGGAGGGAAGGATCTTAAGGATATGGCAAAGCCTTATGGGGGATCAGGGCAATGTTTTCGTGACACAGCCAAGTCCAGTACTCAGTTTGAAAAAGAGGTCAAAGGTAATTCGGAAATGGACAATTTTGTACTTGAACTTAAGGAAACATATTTGAGGCAAAGAATCACGTTTTTCGATGAAATGTAAGTTTCTTGTTTTAACTCGCAAAAAAATTAAGGAAAATTTTGCATAACTTAGGGTAAAGAACAAGTTAAAATATATTTCATGATTAACTTTAACTTAACAATCCACAAACAAAATTATAAATATTGAACACGGTTTTTGATTCCAGACGTTTACAATTTTCAGCAGCCAACAAGTAAAGAACATCTACTGCTGCAGACACTTCTGGTTTAAATATGGCGTTTACCTTGTGTTCAAAGGCGATAAAATAAAGCAAGATCTAAAGTGAACATTTCATTTAAGAGCTTTTCAAAACACTTCGTTGTGATGAAGAACAAGATCAACACTTTATTTGCTGAGGCTCAATCAGCCGTTACTCGTAGTATCTACTAACTGTTGACGTTGCTTTGCCTTAAATTTAAAATTCACGGAAGGCAAAATGACCAACAGTTTGATTTACAGATATCCTCATCGGTGTTTCCTTGTTCCGTCTGACTACCTTTGTGAAGTACAATTATGTCTAAAAGTGATAGAGTTAGTAGATACAAGAAAGAATTTTTAGCAGAAAATTGAGTTCTGTCACCGTGTTTTCCTGTAACAATCCCCGTTCTGATCCCATTGGATTGTACTTTACTCACCAGGGTAATCTTTATTCAGCTTCAGCATCGCCCAACAGTAACAACATTGGCATTATTGGTAGTTCGTATTAAATCAACCTCCCTCCAATTTGGCTAAATTTTGTCCTCTTTGGCGTCTACCTGTCCATATTCTACTTTCATCAACTGCCATTTGCCATGGTTTTGATATCAGAAAAACGCAATCCTACCGGTCCCTTTAGCCTTTCCAATGCATTAATTGGAAGGCCACATCAGTTACAGAAGCCGCGTTTTACGGCGCTCTCACCCCGAGCAATCTTCATGTTGTCGTTCATTCATAAAACAAACGCCTTGAGCAGTTTTTTTAATAACTGTCATGCGAAAAAACTTGTGTGTTTATATGAGCCACAATTCGGCCGGTTTTCACTGAACATTTCACCTTCAGATTCTTCATAAAGACTAAAAAACTTCAGGGAGAAGTGTTGAATTCAACCTGCCGAACTATTTCAGTTTATGGACTATTACATGTTATAAACTTGGTTTGCCACTTTTGAAAGCTTTTAATTAAGAAAATAATCTGATTGATTAAAAAAGACCAGTGACCCTATTCCACCGATCAGATTATACTCTCAGTTGCACTCAAGAAGTAGGGAAAGACACTCGACTACGTCTCGTTTTTCCCTCTACTCTTCTGTCGTGCTCTAGCCGCTTCCTATATGCTTTACTACAAACAGGTTATGAGAATATTCAAACCTATCAGATAGAGCACATGGTGATTTTTCCACATATTTTATTTTGTAAACATTTTTATAATAGTGTCATCGTTGTCTGTTGACAAACAGTAACGTACATTTATTTATTGCAGGGAATTATTCTTGTTTTTTTTGGCGCTCTGTGCCAGTCGTACCTATTAGGGGTGTTTTTCTTTCCAATAAAATTGCAAGAAATACCCTAATAGCATGAAAGAGAACCTTTGTACATTTTTACAACACCATGCTACAAAACGTAGTGGTGGGAATGTGTGGCTTATGTGAGGCTGGGGTGCTATGTTCCGTGGCCAATGGGTGGGCTTGCATAAGGGAGTGGTACTATTAACCACTGTTAACAGACCCAAATACCGTTTAAAACCTTAAACTACAGAGGGGCCGACATATGTGCGCTCGGCACAAAATAAGTTCGATCTCATCTCCAGGACCGGTAAATTTGAAAGCCGACTCGTGACTTGCGATATTCTTGGTGCATGAAAGTAAAGGAACAATTTCCGTTTCACGCATTCGATCTCTAGTGTTGTAACCACAAACTCCGCCAATAAGCGACCATTTTTTATGTAACAAAGTTGACCGTTTAAGTTAGTGTATTTGTGAAAAACAATCCGAAACCCCGCCTCTAAGCGAACAATAGGCTTTGTGTAATTACCATAAACCAGGTTTTGTTTACTTAGGCTTACTATTTTTAGCAGGTGCCAAATTTAGCTTTTCAACGTGTATTAGCCCTATCTCCGCGACTTACATGTAAGAGATTTCGATGTTCACAACAACAAAAAAGCTTAGCAGCAGTGACGTATTTTTACTTTCCCCATCCCCATCCCCTAAAAAATAACTTTCCATTGTATGATTTGCATTGCGTGACGACTCTCCACATACAATCTCCATATACAAAACTACGTTGACTGCAACATATGTGAAGTGCTACTAAGCATCGATCAGATCTACTGCAGCACAAACCGAACAACACTCACAGTCAACTGAACCGCTGGATAAGATGCCACAGTGCAGAAAGATGTCAAACGTTTTATAACGAAGGTTGGTGACAGTTCGCAGATTGACAGGCAGTTTGATACGACGAGCGACAAGATAACCACAGTAAAATGGTCTTTGGATCTTTCTTCTAAAGCAAATGAGGTTAGAGCATTTGTAAATGTGTACCCATGTACATTTTCCGGCGTCATATGGGTTGAATTATATTAAAGTATGTGTGTGACTCGCGACTGGAATGTTGACCGCCAAAGGTCAAATAACTGCATTTTAACGGACTTTGAAAAGCTTTCGTATCGCTCTAAATCATTTGCCCAAAGAAATTTTTACAGTAATATTGAGAACATCTTTTCGTTATTATACCGCCCAAAGCTTAATCCATTTGAAGGTTTAGCACATGCTGAAAATTAACTTTGCTCACAAAGTACTTTTACTGAAGAGAAATTTATGCTTTCGAAATTAAATTATTTTACGCGCAAAGAGGAACGCAGTGTATACAAAAATCGTTTTGTGAGGTCTTATGAGGTTGAAAAAGAAGATTTGAGTGTTAAAAAGACGAGATTGTGATTCGTTTTTGAATGCGAAGCCCTCAAACTTGTGCAATAATTTGCTTCTAAAAATGACGATTTAACGGAATTTTGTTATTTGTATTTTCTCTGAAATAGAAAGATGTTTTGCCAAAAAAAGTATCCAGTGATTTTAGTTATAGTCTAGCCTATCTAATATTAAAATAAGAAAGAAATCGAATTTTTCACCCTTGCCGCGAAATTTAGAATTTGTCTGATTTTTACAGACAAGCGCTCTTAAATGGTTAACCTTATAAAGCCACGCAATCGCATAACGCGGTTGTTTTTGTAATTTTTTTCTTTTGGGAGCGAGGCCTAAAAAGAGCTGGATGTCACATGGTACTCGTCTATTTCAGCACCTGGCACGTGTCACCCTTTCTAGTAGAAGAAAGCAATGTATATGTAGTTACTGCTAAGTTATCAAATGGAAATAATGTATTTAATGCGACGTCCTCAGTGCAAAATATTCTTTGACAATCACAATCCTATAATATTTTCCTTTGCTACATTATTACGAGTATGCATAAATGCCACTAACATACAAAATTAAAAATCTCGAAGCTAATTAGTTCAGTTGTATTCGATAAAGTTTCTTCGAGGAGAAGAATAAACTTACAAATTCCAGTCTCCGATTATTGCACTTAAGGAAAGAGACAGTTCGGACCATTAGAAGTAGAATAGAAACTGGAAAGTTAATAAGTGTCTGTTGAAACAGCTACTTTAATATGAAAATCTTTTTAGGGGTAGTCACGAGAATACGTCCATCTGATGTTGCTGTTATTCCACGAGGACTAGGTAAATGAGTGATACTTTTTCCAGTGAAGCGACCGTCCAGAGAAAACTGCTGAACTCGATGATTGAGCTGATCACACACCAAAAGGCAATGGGATCTGTTTATAAGCAAACCATACGGGCTGTCAAATTGTCCATCTTGATTGCCCCGTTTGCCAAATCTGTATAAGAATGTTCCTGACTTGTCGAAAGCCTTAATGCAATGATTTCCGCTATCGGATATGAAAAACTTGTCTTTGTAAGAGAAGCAGCTCTTTGAGTTGTTTAACTTTTCTGGGCCGATGTTTCCAAAGATGGAAATGGTTTCTCCCTCAGGTGACATCACCTGTATCCTACTTTTCCAAAATTCGGTTACAACAATGCGACGTTCTTCATCCAAACAAACATCAGAAGGGAAATGAAACTCTCCTTTTCCTACTGCTCTTCCTAAAGTGTTCACAACAGTTCCCGTTTGGATATTAATTTGTTTTATTCTGCCGTTACCTGTGCCTGTAATCAAAATCTCGTCATCGTTCAAATATGTCACGCCAAATGGGTTTCTAAATTGTCCTTTAACTCCAATTTTTCTCAGACATTTACCATTTTTATCGAATATGTAAACGGAGTTTGTACCACAATCAGTTACGGCAATATTCCCTATCGTATTTACCGCGATTCCAAATAGATCGTTGACCCCTTCTCCTTTTAATAAATTCAGATCCAACTCACCGACCACAATAAGTTCACGCTCCTTCACCGCCACAGTGAACGGAGAGTTGGCGAGTGTATCTCCATTAATCTTCACTTCAATGCTGTAAGTACCGGGTACTTTGGGTATAAATTTCACTTCGAATCTACCGCTTTCTGTGTTGCAAACAGAGACTTGTATGACATCTTTGTCTGGTTGTATGAGAACTTCAATTTGCAGTATGAGATTAGGCTGGTTACTTATTTCTCCATCAGGTGTATTGGGGAACAAAATGAACTTTGCTTCTAAACCAGCCTTAAAAGTTTGATCCAGTCCCTCTAGAGTGGACCAACTTGCGTCTGCTATGTCTTCGGTGCCGATGTCGCCCAAGTCGAAGCCCATAACAGGAGTGGGGTAAAACTTGATGAACGAGGTCTGATGGTGTTGTGCAGCTTGGATTCCTCGAAGTTCTTCAAATCTCTGTTTCAAATTGTGCTTGTTTTGCATGACGTCCCAGCTCGAGCTTTTCTGTACCAAGTTTTCGGCAAAGTCGGCGACTTTATTGTTTTGTTTCATCAGAGATTCTACTGCCTGTCGAGCCGAATGGATTCTTCGGAGTCTCGTCACGTACGTTGTCTTGATTGATTCAATGGCTCGTCGCTCGCGCTTTCGAATCTCTGCAATCTTCTGCTCGGCTGCTCGCGAAACTTCGCGTTTGGCGAGTTGGGCATTGTCTCGCAGCTCAAAAGCTGTGTGATGAAACTGTCGAATCGTTTCTTTTAAATCGTTTTCCCTTGTTCGGCTCATAACAGCTACCGCCATGATATTCCCTTTCTCGTTGTCCGCTGCTTCATCAAGCAAAATAACCTTATGGCTTTTATGAGCCGTGACGATGCAAAGATGGCAGAAACAACATTGACACCGAAGGCAGTAAAATCTCGTGATTGCTCGCTCGTGGTACTTCTTGGTGCAAAAGGGCTGTCGCTTTAACAAAGCTTCGTAATCTTGATCTTGGAAGTCTTTGACAGGCATCACTTTGTGTCCCTCAAATGTATCGCGCATAATTTCATGTGCGTACAGACATTCGGAACACATGAATCGAGCACAATCATAGCAGTAATGGACATTGGAGCTAGTCCTCTTACAGTTGCCACAAGGGATGTTTGTTCCATCGCCACTTTGTCGAACGGCATGGATAATCAACAAACTGTTGTGAAAAAAGCTGGTTGGCAACGCTTCGAAGCGATTTCCTTCTGGTAAGTGGATTTCTGCCTGACACTCGGGGCAT